TCTGTCTAAAGCCGAACTGCCGTAGGACGCGATCCGGCAAATATGGCTCGATAGTCTCCATAAACTGTATACATCCCTAATATAGTGTACGCGGAACGAGTCTATGCGCGTGCGGACCGTAAGACATCCAGTCAATCTAGTACATTTAGATTTGTGTAATAAATGCAAAATACATCAACGGAACAATAAATAAATAAATTCAACAATTAAAATACATACCTGATCGACCTGCGTATCATCGAGCATCTTTCGGACCGAGAACAAGTCCGAAATGCCCTTGCGTGGTTTCCATTTTAGGAAACGAAGCTGCATCTCCCTATAATTCGAATTAATAGGTGCTCGCAAAGGGTAGAAGTACTCATAAATCCAACACTATAAATAAACGAGATTATATTAAATTATATGGCGAATGGCAAAAAAACCCATCACAAGGGACTTAAATGCGCATTGGTCCACAAAAAAAACATTATTTCAAATAAACTCATCCCCATGTCTTTAGTCAAAAATACCCTCCATAATATATTTTTTTGTCAATTCCATCAATTATGCACTAACTTTCTTAATATTACACATTGACCCCGGATTTAAACAAATATATCACATTTACCCCCACATTGAGAAAATAAATTTTTTTTCCGACCAGATTCCGGCGTTGACTTTTTTTCGATTTTTTTTTTTTTTTTGAAATTTTGAAATTTTTTTGAAAAAAATATTTGAATTAATATTACTGTTTTGGCAGCTAAATTACTATCTCATACAGTAATATTACTGTCTATGACAGTAATATTGAATATTAATTTTTAGAACAGTAATATTACTTATATTACTGTGCAAATAGTAATATTATTGCATAAGACAGTAATATTACGGTCGGAGACAGTAATATTACAGTCGAAGACGATAAAAATGCAGGCCAAAACGATAAAATTAATTAATACAGTAATATTATTGTCTCAGACAGTTAAATTACTGTTGGAGACAGTAGTAATTTAACAGCCAAGACAATTATATTAACTAAAATAATGTTTTTTCAAGAAAGAACAAAATTTCAGAAAAAAAAAAAAAGTCAATTAACAATTAAATTACTGTCTCCAACAGTTAAATAACTGTTGGAGACTGTAATTTAGCAGCCAAGACAGTAATATTAATTAAAATATTTTTTAAGAAAAAAAATCAATTAACAGTTAAATTACTGTCTCCGACAGTTAAATAATTGCTGCAGATAGTAATTTAGCAGCCAATACAGCAATATTAATTAAAAAAAATTAAGAAAAGAAAAAGTCAAATAACAGTTAAGTTACTGTCTCTGACGGTTAAATAACTGCTGGAGACAGTAATTTAGCAGTCGAGACAGTAATATTAATTAAAATATTTTATTAAGAAAAAAAAAATTATTAAAAAAAATAATAAAAAAATAAAAATAAAAATTCAACGCCGGTGGACCTACCGGAAAAAAAAATCAGAAAAATTCAACAAAAAAAAGAAAGTCAACGCCGGAGACCGGCGGTCTCCGGTAGTGGCGTGTCACAATTAAATTAGGATTAAAATTGGTTATTTGGTGAAATTGGGCTAAATTGGGGGTGCAAAATTATGAAATTGGAGTTGAATTGGGTTTCAATGATTTGAGGATAATTTTGTGATACATAGAAGAATTTTCCTTATTTGCAAATAAATTTGAATGAGCTGGATTTATTTGAAAGACAAAAAAGTTGGATGTCTCTCTTTTAATTAAGTGGCCTTTTCATGGGCATATTTGTCATTTGCCCTAAATTATATTATATTACTACCTGATTTATACTAATTAATACTACATTATTAACATATCATATTAAATATATTATATTATATACAATAAAGTTATAATATATTAAATTAAAATTATATTAAACTAGATTACGTTATATTAGTACCTAAGTTATACTAAGTAATACTACATTATTAACATAATATATTAAAATATCTAATATATTATATACTATAAAGTTATAATATATTAAATTAAAATTAAATTACGATAGATTATATTATATTAGTACCTAAGTTATACTATTAATACTACATTACTAACATAATATATTAAAATATATTATATTATATACTATAAAGTTATAATATATTAAATTAAAATTTGTTACACTAAAATACCTGGAGCAGTAATGTGCATCCATGTAACCCATTCACGTGGGCTCTACTAGCCAAGCCTAACTGTCGGTATAAATGAGCCAAGACAGCTGCACCTCAAGTATACTCGCCGACGTGCTCAAGATCGGAAGAATATCTCATCCACGTTGGCTTGAACCTATCTATACTCCGACCGGGGAACAGAGCCATACCGATCAGAAACGTCAAAAACCCTACCACCTTCTGTCGACAAGATCGGGACCGATTGAGCACATGCTCAACAAACTCCGATCATTTTATCCCACTATTGCCGAGCTTGGCATGCGCGTCGACTAGGTCCAAATCAAGAACCTCTACTAGCAACAACTCACACATAGGCCTCTCCGAAAATCACCATAGATTGATAGGCCGTCGACACACAACCCCAATATAAACACAACATCATGCAGGTTGATCGTCGTCTTACCCCAAGGCATGTGGAAACTGTTCGTCTCTGACTCCCACCTCTCTATAAATGCCTGCATGAGTCCCTTATCCACATTTTTCATGTAGAAGTGCTCGAGTGAGTCCAGGCCAGATGCCTCCAGTAGCTCTACCTCATCCTGCCCGTAAAGAGCCATGAGTTTCTTCAGATCATCCTTCTTAAAAGCATTTAGCGCGTTAATCCTAGACTCACATCGTCCAACAGTGTGCTCCTGTAGAATTGAGAGATTTAATTAGAAAATATATATTAATAGCTCGAATGCTACCCGTCATAGCTCTCGAACTCCGGTCTACGTGGGGTATCTCATCCACGATGGGTAAATCATCAGCGCCACGACCCGCTCAATAACTCTCCTACGCTAATGAAATACAGTGATACGAATGCGCTCGACTTCCGCCCCGGCTTCCCTGCCTCCCGCCATATCGAAATTTAATTGTCGGGACTTTAGCCGAACTCAAAGAAGCACCCATAATCCCTTTTTCCTTGTCTTGATGTGCCATCTGTAAAAAAAAATAAACATATTAATTAATTAATTAAAATAAAAAAATATTAAAAAAAATTTAAAAAAACTTGAATGTCCCGTTCTGTAGAACACGGGAACTTGAATAATCTTCAAGTTCACGTGTTCTGCAGAACGGGAACTTCAAGTTTGAGTCCTCTATTCTGTAGAGCACGGGTACATGATATCAAGTTCCCGTGTTCTACAGAACGGGGGATTCATATTTTAATTTTTTTTTTCGAAATTAAAAATTCAAATTTTTTTATAGTTTCCCGTTCTTCGGCACGAAAACTTCAAGTTTCCGTGCTCGCGGAACTGGAAATTCAAACAACTTGAATCCTCCGTTCTACAGAACACGAAAACTTTATTTTTTCAAGTTTTCGTGCTCTTTAGAACAGTGGCTTAAATTTTTTTTCTTTTTTTTCGAAAATTGGCTAGATCTAATCCTAAACATGTGTTTTTACCTAAATTGTAAATAAAACTAATTAAAAGTAGTGGGATATTGAAAATTTACCGGAATCGAACCTCGTTTGCTACGGATTCAAAGTCGATTTTTTTTCCGAAATTCAAATGTCTTGAGAGAGTTTGGGAGTAGGAGAGAGAATTTCAAAAAAGAAAAATTAAATAAAAAAGATTCCGCTGCATTCAGTAAAAGGCCCGCTGCAAATAGCAACACCCTATTTCATTACACTTCAACCTTTTGAAATTCAAAGATTATACAAATTTATCACCAGGTTTGATTTCGTTAAATGTGTAGTCAAATTTCACATGTGACTTGATTTTGTTAAAATGTCAAGTCAAACACATTGAATAATATTTTCACTCTTACTAAAATATTAATTTTTAAGTAGATTATAATTATAATTGTACTAGTCCCCTTAAGTTTGCATGATTATCCGAATCCCAATCTCAAGTTTCTATTTCAGCCAACAATTATATTAGTAA